ATCTGAACCATTTACTAGCCACAGAAGTCTCAACCAAACCCAGAGAATCAATATCACATCCTGAACGGTGCTGAAAGATGGCCCACAAGAGCCATCTGGCTGCTAATTGGTTCCCTGTGGCTTCATTCAACAATCCCTAGTAGGGTGGATGGGTACAAGGGGTAAGGGCAATCAAAGGACACAAATTTCCAGTTATAATAAAATAAGTAAGTCCTGGGATGTAATGTATAGCCTAATGACCATAGTTAACAATACTGTAGTGCATATTTTGAAAGTCACTAAGAGAGTACATCTTAGAAGTTCTCATCACAAGAAAAAAAATTTTGGGACCCATGTGTTTAACAAGGAATGTTAACCAGTTATTGTAGTGATCATTTTGCAATATATACAAATATTGAACCATTACACCTGAAACTAATATAATGTTATGTGTCAATTACACCTCAATAAGAAAAAAAGAAAAAAAAGCCCAGTTCCCTGGAATGATCTAGAACATGTCTCTGTCCCTTGCAAGTGCCAACTAACTTGGCCAGTTATTATTGTGTCTAACATGTATAAGTACTCAAAAATTTGGGTAGAATGAAAAACTCCTCAGTGGAAGCAATCTTTAAGAAGCTGAAATTAAGCTAAGATTAACCATTTTCAACCTGCCGAGATATTTCATCATAGAGTTGAGTACTACAGGAAATATACCCCTCAAAAGGCAAAAACATTTTGAGCTTGCATGAACGGCAGGGTGTACGGGTGTTGGGTGCAAGGACCATGATGCGAATAGGCACAAGGAAGCAGGCAGGCAAGCTGGCTAGCCAGGAGGGACAATTCCAGATAGTTTCATGTTGCCAACCCTCTTCAATCGTCTTATCTATCAATGGAAGACAGTGACTTTCTAAGACCCACTCGGTTCAAACGGGACCAGAGGGCACAGATTCTTCTCATCTTGCTCTGCTGCCTTTTATTTCACTCCAGGGTCTGCAGCGGTGCGGTGAGGAACCCAGCTGGGAGACAGGGATGGTCCCTGGCAGGAAGGGTCCTCTATGTCACGCTAGAGAGTTAGACAATTGGGAGCCAGGGCAAGTTCATGTGTTTAAGCAGAGAGTCCCATTGTCAGCGTTGGGGGAGTGTCGAAGATAAAACAGACAAGGGAAGGACCAGAAGTAGCATCTGTCTTTAATGGGTTGACAGCATAGAGTCAGCTCTCAAATATTCACTTGAGAGAAGACTGGTCAAAGTACGGGTAGAAGAGAGAATCTAAAAATGTTTATTTGAGGTGAAAACTGACCATCTTAAAGTGTGCAGCACAGAGGCATTTAGTACATTCACAGGGTTGTGCAGCCATCACCTCTATCTGGTTTAAAACCTTTTCGTCACCCCAGAAGCAGACCCCATATCCATTAAGCAGTCCTCTCTCTTCTCCCCGGCCCCTGGAAACCACTCATCTGTTTTCTGTCTGTGGATTTACCTATTCTGAATACTTCTGGTAAATGGAATTGTGCTATATGTCCAGCTTCTTTCCCTTGGTCTATTTTCGTGGTCCATCCATGGTACAACATGTATCAGTGAGAGAGAAAAATGGAATCTTGCCATTTGCATCAGTGTGGATGGAACTAAAACATATGATGCTAAGCGAAATCAGTCAATCAAAGAAAGGCAATTATCATATGATCTCACTGATATGTGTGGAATTTAAGAAACAAAGCAGAGGATCATAGGGGAAGGGAGGAAAAAATAAAACAAGATGAAATCAGAGAGGGAGACAAACCATAAGAGACTCTTAATCATAGGAAACAAACCGAGGGCTGCTGGAAGGGAGGGGTGGAGGGATGGAGTAACTGGGTGATGGGCATTAAGGAGGGCATGTGATGGAATGAGCACTGGGTGTTATATAAGACTGATGAATCACAGACCTGTACCTCTGAAACCAATAATATATTATATGTTAGTTAATTGAATTTAAATTTAAAAATGTTTAAAAAAATCATGTTTTCAGGGGCGCCTAGGAGGCTCAGTTGGTTAAGCGTCTGCCTTTGGCTTAGGTCATGATTTCAGGGTCCTGGGATCCAGCCTGGCATGGGGCTCCATATTCAGGGGGGAGCCTGTTTCTCCCTGTGACCCTCCCCCTGACTTATGTTCTCTCTCTTGCTCTGCTCTTTCTCTTTCAAATAAATAAATAAATAAATAATCTTTTAAAAAATTAAATTCCTAAGACTGCAAAAGCAGAAGACCAGAATCTGAAGGAAATCTCAGTATGAGCAGTAAGAGAGGTCAGGGTAACCACCATTGCTCGAGCCTGAGGGACTAGCAGGACCGTAGCATCGTGAAAGCAAATAGGAAAGACAGAGAAGATTCAGGTAGGGCCGAGGGTGACAAGTCTGTTTCTGGACTGAGTTTGAAGTGCTACGGAAAATCCATCTTGGAGAAGTCCACCAGGCAGCTGCAGAGTCTGCAGCTCGGAGAGAAGCCCCTGCAGCAGCTTACAGGGCTGAGGAGGCATGGAGATGTGCTGTTTTACTGTCCTCCAAGGCTCAGGGGGCCACAGTCGTCTGCAACTACTTGTGTCATTCAGAGACACATGCGACGCACGAACTCTCCTTGCCTTTTCCGGAATGTGACTCATCCGATTACAAAACTTCAGAGGTGAACAATAACGAGCCAAACTCAAGATAGAGCAAATATTATCCTCACCCTAGAGCAAAGCTCATAGCATGTTCCGTTCTGGCTTCGGTAAAAAGAATCCATTCACGGAGCCCACAGCCGGCACTTACCAATAAGTATCTCCTCTACCACCTTTGAACCTTGGATCGCCTGGTTCCATCGTTCTCTGCTTCCAGTACAGTCCAGAGTATCTACCTTCTGCAGACTCCTGTCAGTTTTATGATTCATTTAGAATCATGAAGTTTGGTGCAAATATGTAGCCCCCCTAGTCTGACTGCAACTCTCCAGGTAAAATACTGACTGCAGCCCAGCTGAGTAATCCCTGTGAGTGATTCTAACCCATAAAGGCAGGGAGAGGCTGACCCTGCCACCTTCTCTGTGTACATCCAACCTCAGCCAACATCACAATTCTCTGAAGATCCTTGCCTCACCTCTACCTGGCATTGAATGTCAGTAATCATTTCCCTCCCTGAGGAGCTATTTGTGACCTGATGCCAAGTCCTACACAAATCCAGTTCCACGGGGGCAAGACAAACTTTGTTTGCTTTGAATATATTTATTTACTTATGTGCATATATAATTTAAATATCTATATGTAGGCATATACACTTATAACATTTATAAAATATACTCCTAAGATGTTTTCTGTACCCTCAAGGTCAGGCTCAAACTGGAAATTCTGAGAAAAGAAACCATTATGGCAAGCTTTCTAGCAAACTTAGATCAAAGGAGAAAGAAGGAAGTAAAAAACTAGCACCTCCAAATGCAGAGGAAAGAGACCCACAAGGACAGGAGAAACCCCCCCAGTCCCCGGGGTAAGTACACACATAAGTTAAGGAGCAAGGGTTACCCACGATGAAAGAACATGCTGTGAAGCTCACCAAGTCCCCAGACAAGCTGTGGTCAGCACAGCTCCACATTCTCGCCCTTCATTCACTCCCTCACCCTGCACGTCCCCGACGACACCTAAGTGCCAGGCACTGTTCTAGACACCGAGACCCCACAGTGAACTACACAGACACACCCTCTTCCCACAGAGCTCAGGTCCTAGAGGCACATTAGTGAAGGCGACAAAGAAATAAAACCCGTGGCAATTTCAGACAAGTGCTGACAATATACAAGTAATTCACCAAAATCCATAGTGTGTCAGATGGGAAGGTAGATAGGGATGGCCAGGGTGGAGGCAGGGACAACTTGAATGTGTAAGTGGGGGGGGGCCAGGTGGCTGAGGTGAGATGTCAGCAGGGACCTGAAGGCGAGGGACTGAGCCCCAGGGCTGTGGATCTCTGGAAAAAGAATGTCAGAGCCCTCCAACCTCAAGAACATCAGGGCATCTGAGTGGCTGTGAGGGGGCAGGGGTGGAAACAGAGGTAGCAACACCAGCTCCTTTGCTGTGATTTATTTTTTTTGCCAGCCATGTGTCAAATTGAGTTGTAAACAACTTGGGAGCAGAGCCTGTGCTGCCATGTGCACATCTGCATCCCCAGGGCATGGTACGGAGCCTGAATTAAGTGTGGGCAGGTGCATGGCTGGATGGATGAGGAGTAACTGGGTGAATCGGGAAACTTGGCCAAAGGGAAAATGCACTAAGTGAGGCCGTTAGCAGGTAATAATGCTGGCTTTAGCCATCACCGTAAAGGCCTAACCAATAGCTTTTAACTCCATCAATATGCAGGACATTTTCCAAGAAAATATACAGCTTTAATCTTATAACGGAAGTCAACAACAAAACAGCTTTTGCGTTACTGTATGCAAAGGGGTATATATATATATATATATATTTATATTTTTATATATATATATTCATTTTCTAGACCGCTTTGCTAGAATACATTCACTCCCTCAAATAAAAAGAAAAGCCCTATATTTAAACCATGGTGCCTGAATAATAGATATAGGTGGCTTCAGCTTTAATAGACAACCATAACACATTTTCCAGCTCATAGGAAGAGGAGACTCGAGGAAAAAGCTACTGCTTAATTTTGTATTCTAGTAATAATATTCTCCACTTCGACCCATAAAAGGAATTAATGGCCAGCTCATCTGAATGGAAATGATAAAAAAGTAGTTTTAGATCACGGTTCACCAAGCCTTTTCTGTAGAGAGTCAGACAGCAAATATTTTAGGCTTTGCAAGCAACATATAGTTGTTGTCACATGGTCTTCTTTGCTTTTTTAGGTTTATTTTTGTGTGGTTGTTGTTGTTTTATAATGCTACGAAAAGTGTAAAAACCATTCTTACTTTCTGGGCCCTACAAATAAACCATAGTTCACCAAATGGGACACTTGGAGTCCCAAGCCCCTAACAATTAAACCCAAGAAAGAAATCTGCATATATCTTGGGATTACCTCTTTCAGTCTCTCCAGCTCATTCTGGAGGGCTTGTTTGGATATTTCCACTTCAATCATCTGCTGTCGGAGACTTTCGTTTTCATCCTCAGCTTTAGCACGCTTTTCCTCCACAGTTTCAAGTTCATGATGCAATCTGACAGACACATCTTTGGCTACCTGTATCAACCAACAGAGATAGTCATCAGGACGTAAAGCTTTCTGTGTGCTCAGGGCACATTCAAACAACTTCAGAGGCAGAATCATTAAGTGATAGGATATCACAGTAAAGGGCAAAGACCCTGGCAATATTAACAAGCCTATCTTTAAAGGAGGAGGTATCAGTTTCATACATGAAATCCACATTATGAGCGAGGATATGACCTTTATCTGGATTAAAAGGCTACTGTGGATAGCTCTACCTCATTATAGAGTATCACCAAGAATGCCAATTCTGCTCACGTACACATGCTTTAATGATAAATTAGAAATAATAACAATAACTACTAATCAATCAATAAACATTTCTGTTCCCTAAGGCAATACTAAAACTACCTGCAAAAAAAAAAAACAAAACAAGATAATCCTGTAAAATAAGGTAGTCAAGTTTTAAATTGTCTACTGTGGTAAAATATCTGAATGTTAAAAGCAGTTAAACGTTTTCACCTTCTAAAGGGAAACAAGGAAAGAGATTTTGCAAGAGAAATATAAATCACCCTTACATCCCACTGAATGACATTTTGTTAGTGGTTTATAGATTTGATAGAATTACAAAGATTCTTTTCCTGTTATCATAATGAAAGGCGAAATGAGATTTCATAAGTACTCCCATAATAAGGACTTTATGCATAATTCATCTCTTGATAAATGATTTGATAATCAGGGCATGAGAGAAGCCATGCTACCCATGGAGAGATCAAATGGTATAATGTCTGGAATTCCTTCACCTCATTCCCACCTCTGCCAATGGTTTTCAAAAACACCTTAGACAATTAGCTTTACACAGTCAGTTATGATCCTATTTCTCCTTCAGTTAAATCAAAACACCATCCTTGGGTTATGGTCATTTCAGGTGTTCTGCATTCTAGAAACTTAAGTAACAATAAAAACATTAAGTGATTATAGTCAACCTTTATGAGTGGTCTTTGACTATCATTGAATTGATAATCAATAGATTTTTAAAAATATTCCAGATCTTTAGAAGACGTTTCTGTACAATTCTACACAACTGTCAGACCAAGTGGCAGATATCTTTTTTTAATTTATTTTTTTAAAATTTTATTTATTTGAGATAGAGAGCAAGAGAGAGAGAGCATGAGCAGGGGCAGGCACAGAGGCAGAGGGAGAAGCAGGCTCCCCACTGAGCAAGGAGCCCTTTGCAGGACTTGATCCCAGGACCCTGAGATCATGACCTGAGCCGAAGACAGACGCTTAACTGACTGAGCCACCCAGGTGCCCCAATTCTCTCTTTTTTAAATTGTAGATCCCTTACTACGATTTCTTTTCTTTTCCTTAGGTTTTAAGATTCCAGTTCATACGACAGGTTTAAATCTTGGGCTGTCAAAGCCATGTGACTACATATAACCTATACACCATAAGGTGAATGAAGAACATGTATGCTGAAATCTGTTGAAAAAGAGAGAACTACTACTAGAATGGCAGGACCGTGGGTAGGTGGGTCCGAAAGCTGCCGGCCTCAGCCCTGCAATCCTGCCCCCCCTGCAGCCCCTTCTGGGAATGAGCACTCCATCAGTCCTGCTCACTCACCTTTAAGTCCTGTTCCAGACTCCGGATGAGCTCGCCATCTACCTGACCAGTCTCAGCCACTTTCAGGCTCTTCTGCTCGGCTTTCCTGAGGCGGTACTGCAGGATTCGGCAGTTTTTATGAGCGCGGTCCAGCTCTCGCCGAAGCTCCTGCAGCTGGTAAACATCTTCCTCTAAGTAACTGTCTCTCATCTCCTCCATTTCAGCGCGGAGTTCATCCAGTTCATCCTACACAAGCCAGATGGAGCAGACTCAGAAGCCAGGTCCCCTGGGACAAGGATGGGTCCACCCCAGCTCTGCAATACTGGACGTTAACCACCTGCGCACTTACCCCGCGGCTGATGGGCACACCTGCGTCAGAGGACACAGGGACCTCTGGAAAGGGTCACACGAGACAATATCCTCAGATGTCTGTTCAAGTCTCATGGATCCAGACACTCAAAACCAGGAGGGATTATTCACTACAGCCTGCCAGCATTTATTCTATTCCCAATATTTTCTCACATACTCAGAATCACAAATAAAATCAGCTCTGCAGATAACTGAACTTTTAGATTCAAACCAAACACTGACCTAAACCTTATCTCCAGGGCACAGTCTCGGGACAATGAGGAGTTGCACAGAGCCCTGCCTTCGAAGGACATAAACTTTAATGGGATCATAACTGAACCGCCCTGGAATTATGACACACCTGCAAATGTCCCTAAAACTCGGTTCCACCATACAAGTCTCAGCACTGACTATGTGACTCACGATTCCAAAGATATAACTTTTGCATTATCTCAAATCCACATTGGGTTTGGTTTTTTTCCATTCACTTGGCCTTCATTTCCCATCTCCACTTTACTCTGGCATCAGCATGAAGACACTGTGGGTACAGGAAAAACCCAGGAATTGTCCTTGCTCCCCCTCCTCCCCTCCCATTCCACATCCAAACCAGTGCTGTCAGCCCAAGAGCAACATACATGTGGGGCACTCTCTCCCCAGTGGCTGCACACCACAGCTAGTCCCTGCCTTCACCTGTCCCGAGGGAGCAGGGGCACACACAGGCAAGTTGTGTGGGGTTCCCTGCTTCCCCTTTAGCCAGTTCTCCACCCAGAGTTATCCTTTACTATGGAACTCAGACCACGCCCCTCAGACCTTGCAGGGGCTTCCCGATGCCCTGAGAAAATTCTTCAAAGTCTTCCCCAGGGCCTATGAGCTACCCCCTTCTTCCTTGCCATACTGCTGGTCTCACGGGATCTGGATTGCTGAAGGCCTTCCCACCTGTTCTACCCTCTCCTTAAAATGTTCCTCTCCAACTTTTACAGAGCTCATTGTCACATCATCTGGAAGGCAGACACACAGCACCTTCCCTGACCACCCATCCCCCCAACCCCACCGTCTCTTAATTCTTCCTGCCCTGCTCTGTTTTCTTCCCACCTCTTATTACCAGCTACTAGTTACTTGTGCTTCTTCCTATTCTTGTCTGTCGCCCATACTGAAATGTGAGTGGCAGCTCCCCTGCATTCACAGCGCCCAGAGTGGTGTGAGCCACACAGCAGGCTCTCAATAAGTATTGGTGGGATGAACACACACGAACATTGGTCAATACCAACAAAGACCAAATTGTAAAGACGACCAAAATCAAACACAAATGCACCTTTGTTTTGTTCCAGTCTTGTAATCTAATTACAAAGAATTCTTCCCAAACCCACAGATGTAGCTGCAATATGCGAGACAGAAACTCTATTGAAGTATTACAAAAGATTTTAACAAGGAGTAATTTGGAAGGTGGAAGATTAAGAAAAGCATTCTAGGCATTTTCTTGATTAGTTTGATCACTGATGGTTTAAATGTCTCCAGACTAGGATACATTCAGTCATTCCTTTTTGTTTTGTTCAATTAACAGTGAGGGTCAAGGAAAAAACTCTCCACGATGTGGACACCCTAAGTTGTCAGCTCTCGTCCTGCTACTCAGTTTGTTCCTGATTCTCTCCACTCTCACTAATCCTGCATTTGTTCTTAAAAGCAGGGATTTACTTATAATAAAGAACGGCAGCTTCCCAACATCAAAGCCTCAGGTAGAAAAGAAATTGACCAGAAGGGAATCTCCTGAAGAGTAATTTAACCTGGAAAAGTTTAAGTGTAACAAATAAATCTTCCACCTTCAGATTTTGTACTCTTTATGGAAAAGTACAAATTGGCACAGACAGTTGCCCAGCCAACCTCAACCATATGCAGTGGTCCACTGGAAGCAGCACAGATGTAGTAGCATCTCATTCCCCCAAACCACAGCCTGTAGCTTTTCCCCAATCTGTCCACACTACCCTAACGAAGAGAATGGCCTACTCAACTGACCTTGACTCCAAATGGAGCCTGTCTGAATGGACTGCCAAGAGGAAGGAATGTTAAAGAAGAAAAGCTTTACCATGCCCCAGTAGTAAATTGATATAAAGTGGTTTTTTTCTCAGCTTCTGAATGTTCTTACAAAATTTCTATAGCAGCGGTCACAACTTCATTAAAAATATAAGATGTTCTAGTGTGTCTTAAGAAAAAGGTAAATCTTAACATTGAAAAGTGTTGTGAAGTATAAGCAAGTTTTGTTTCTTTCCTGTTCTCCTTCATGGAGAGCTCTTCCTATACATCTTGTTCCTAGTAGGAAAATTCGCTGCGACTGGGAGTTCACAGACCAAGCGTGCAAGCCAGTCAGTTGAACATATGTGAATAGGATGGACAGGCTGGGCTCTTCAGGGAATGAGAGAACGCAGCTCTTTCAGCACGGTCTTTGCCAACATCAGCAAAGAGTAAGTTGGCAGACTGATGCCAGATCCCTACGCTGAGGCTGTGACGTTGTGTGGGAGCCATGCCCCTGACCCGCCCCATGCTGGGGGAGACCAGCTGCAGACTGCAAGCTTTAACACAGGCCTTGTGGGTGTCAATCTTCTGGTAAAGATTAGGTAATTAATCCCGAAGCTTCAAAATCAAGGTCAAGTTTCTCTCGGGTTCCACCTGTATATATGATGGGTCTTTCAGAAAAAGCCTATTCTCTACTTGTGTCAGAGTACAGTTAAAAAGTAACTGTTTCATTGTATAACTAACACATAGTTCGATACAAGCAATAATCACGACATGTATATGTATACATACAAATATATAGTAACTGTGGCCATTCTATTCATGGAAGGAATTGTCTGTGATTGCTTTTCCTTCTAGAAAGCTTTTCCTTCTAGAAAGTCATTAATGCCTGGAATTACCTGTTACTCAAACAAGTTTTCAAAGTGCAAAAAAGCCATAAGAAAACATAAAATACAACTTTTGGGTATAAAACTGTTCTCTAGCTTTCAGATTTTGTACCAGGAGGACCTTCATGGACCCAAATATCAAATGCTGGATATGCTCTATAGATGCGTAAACAACTACGCAAGCTAAAAGAAAAAAGTGTGTAAGGGCTAGATGAACCGGCACCTCCAAATCATTTAGTAGGCCAGATGTAAGCACCTCATATTTTTTGGCATAAATAATCACCAACATTAGTTGCACTGAAAGGAAAATTAGGCAGAGACTGTAATTGCATGTATTTGAATCATTGCTTTTATAACTCATATTTTATCTAAATTTGTAGAACAGAAGATATCTGATTCAGCACTTTACCTTCATTACTAACCCTATTCTCACCCTGCCAGGAACATATTGCCCATTTCATAGAAATGGAGAGCAAACCCATGCTGGTTAGCATGTCCAAAGCTTCCACAGCTAATAAATAGAAGCTAGACTGCACACCCACGTGCTCTTTCCAGTAAATACTATAAATTATTTGCAACAACCAAGACAAATGAAACAATAATAAGCCTTAAATCATGCTTTTAAAAGCCCACCATAGGTATGACATAATAATGCAAGTTAACATTTTTAGATCTTGACAACTGTCAATGTGTGAGCATACCCATTTTCTCAACTGGCCCTCAGAAAAACACTGCAATATGCAGCGAAGATATTAATACTCCCATTTTAAAAATGAGGAAATCGAGATTCTAAACATTTAAATGGCTTTTCAGCACTGGTCTGGTGCAGAGATGGGACCAAGGTCAGTGTTTCAACTCTTTTCATAGAGCCTTGAAAAAAAGCAGTTTTCAGGTTCAGTGAAAAGAAGTTATAAGAAAAGCAAATTATAAACCATGTAAGCTGGCAGCAGACATTTGAAAAGCAAAAACTGCAATTATTCAGATTAGGGTCATGATGGATAGTGGTTTTCAGGCTACCACTACGTTAATTTTTCTGACAGCATGCTCTAATTTAGAATACGTTGTATTAGAGAACCTTAAAAATGTCTGCTTTTTAAACGTTTAAGAAAACCAAATCAAGCAGAACGTACAATGTTTCTGGCAAATATAATTTTAGACATAGTAAGTAAAAGTAGAAAATTGCTGTTGTTTTTTTTATACACAGAAACTAGTAGGAAACTCAGTGTACGCCGCTTGCTTTAGTGTTTATTTAACTTGAAATGTTCTCAATGTTTAGCTTTCCTAGGGAGCCTCTTTTCACTTTAGGTGAAAGGGCCATAATGAACACCTCTCCACTAGCCTATGTACAGATGGTCTTAATCAACAGTTTTATGTAGAATTAACATCAGGTCCGTTGCGTACTTCACTGTTAAGATCATTACCTCACTGAAAAGCTAATTTAGTTTTAATTAAATCTATTTTTCAAATTTTGTATATAAAATGAAATCTTGAAGGAGTGTGAAACTCCCAAGCTACACCCCTTTGCCTGCAGATAACAGATCGAGCCTTATTATATACAACAAATTACAGAAATAATGAGGTACCATGTGTGCACTAGAGTAAACCAAGATTAAAATGAAGCGTTTCAATGCAAACTTCCACGAAAACAGTTTCACCCACAAATAAAAAATAAAAACAGAATCCACCATATCTTAATTTAAGAGATGCAAACTCTTGATCATACTGATAGCTGTATTCAAATCTTAATCTCCTTCAAGCAACCTGAAATCAATAACTAGTTCTACATTAATATTTTAATAACCCTTCTTTAAATAGATCCCAATTTGGGCAGGGGAGCAGTCATCTGGCTACTGTTGCAATAATTCCATCTTCTGGGAGTTGCAGACAGAAAGATCCTCTGCTGTAATATACAAATAATCCACCTCATTTCCCTCCAGACAATGAAAATGTTCTCTGCACAGTCCCAGCTGTAGATAAGAAGGCACAGGGGCTGCTAACCATTGTTTACCAAGTGACAGTTCACCCAGCAGCTGATGGGCTCTCTTTGCCCTGGTCTACATTATCTCACCACCTAAGATTATTATAGCCACTCTTTCGCAAGCTGAATAAAGAATGGGTGTGGAAAGTGGAATGTCAGGAAAGAATAGGACCACTGTCCACTTTAACCCTTCCAAAAGAAAGGCAGAGGAGAGGAAGAGCTCGACACTTGAGCTGTTCAGAACTGTTTATTCTTGCCTGAGCGTCCCCGCTCCGGGCCACACTGAGCACCTGGAATCCACAGGGCCAAATTTAACAGAACCATTTCAGAGCCTGAAACTTAAAAGACTATGCAGGTGAGAAACAGGGTGGTAAGGCTGGATCAGTGGTGATACACTGCAACCTATAAAACCCCAAATGACCCTACCAATAATCTCCCTTAGGAAATCACTCCTCTCAAATGATCGGATGTTGCCTGCCCTAGTAGCTAGCAGGGACTTTTGTGTGAAACAAAAATAATTCTTATGAAATCACTGAGAAAGCAGCGCAAAAAAAAAAAAAAAAAAAAAAGGCAGCCCTTCCCCCACACCAACCCGCGCCCATCCTGCAGGACACTGGGGCTTGGGAGAACACTATCTGGACACAAGCGGAGGGGACATTGTGAGCACGTCACCAGGAAACTGAACGGCATTTTCAAAATAGGCCAATAAACTCAAAGTGATTAAAGCCTCCTGAAAAGCCGGTGGAAACAGAGGACATAATTAATATGTTCACGATGAGCACTAAGGCTGGTCTGATTGTCTCAGAGCACTCGAGCAAAACCCGGTGGTGGCAGGCAGGCAGGGAACACACCCACAGCATTTTGTCGATGCACTCGTCACTGAGAAACGTGCCTGGGTTCGGTCTGAAAAAGAAGCAAAGGCCTCTGGACAACTGAACTCAACCGCTCACCTGAATGTCTGAAGACTTCCAGATATATTTAAGTTCATCAGGGGTAATGGGACAAGACTGCTTTTCTGACTGTGTTTTCACACATAAAGCCAGCCACCTGGACTGAATAATTGTGCTACCTTGGTGCCCTTTGATGACGATAGAAGTAGAAAGAGAAAGCAGGGTCAGGGATGCCCCAGACAGCCCCATGCAGCACAACTGACATCTGTTAGAAAATACAGCAGACCGGCTAAAAACCAAGAGAATTCCACTTGAATTTCTCGATCAGTAAGACATCCCCCTATGGCTTTGCAGGTCTTATGTAGCTGCTTGATTACCCTTTGGTCATTCCAGCTCGGGAAGGGTGACAGTTTTGCACAGTAATGGTGACAGAACTGACTTGGGAAAGAAGGGGACGCTTAACATGGTCACAATCCTCCAGAATATACCAAAGTAAAATTTCTGGGCCAAGGCTCTTCTTGTTAGGTAACATCTGAATAGAGGAATGCTCTGTCTAATCATGAGAGCCCTGTGCAACATTCCCTAGGAAAGCAGTAGGTCAAGGATGAGTTTTAACCGCCATGAGAAAAAAGTACCAGTGAGCAACAAGAGCATGAAAAAGATAAGTTTTGATTTATAATGTGCACGCTCTACACACCCTGTGCCAAGGCATGCCACCCGCCTCTGCCCCTTGAGATCACTCGTGATCACAGCCCCATTTTGCACCAGTGGGCATGCTCACTGACCTTAATCTACCAGGACTGCTGTGTTTTCTCCCAAATTGAACGGTTGTAACTTAAGCTCCTGAATAACCAAACACTTAACTTACACGTACATCTGTGTGCAGACTTTTGGTTTCCTAGCTTCCTTCTGAGCTCCTCTACCTACTTCTCCCTCCTGCTGTCAGAGGACAGGCTGGGAGATGCACTGAGGCAGAGAGAATGGTTGGCCACGACACTTTCTCCACAGGAACCAGCAACCCTACGTTTCCCACAAATTAAGCATCGTCAGTGGGATTTATTTGACCATCTGTACATAGGCTAGTGGAGAGGTGTTCATTACGGCCCTTTCACCTAAAACGAAAAGAGGCTCCCTAGGAAAGCTAAACATTGAGAACATTTCAAGCTAAATAAACAACACTAAAGCAAGCGGCGTACACTGAGAAAAGCAGCCTGCTGCGGTGAGAAAAGCAAAAGGTCTGGAGCTGGGAAAAGAGAAGCTGCACCTCCTACTTGCTGTATGGCCTTGGGCGAGTCATGTAAGGTTTCTGGGCTTTCAGCATCCTTGTCTGTGAAACTGGGGTTATGATAAAAATGACCACAATTACACCCTATGCTGTTGTGAAGACTCACTGAAATACCAAATACACGAGATCAGACTCCAGGGTCAGACAGCTAGTTCGTTCACTGAGAATGCTCCAATGTGAAAGGATAAAGCAAATAAACAGTTACCTAGGAATGAACTCTGAAATGACTGTTAAGCTGCCTACCTTAAGATCAAAGACGCAATGGGAAACTTCTTTTACAGAACGCTCAATTTCCTGTTGTTTAGCAGGTCGTGATGTGGATAAACCTCATTTAATCAGAAACACTGTGAGTCAGGGATCATGCTAAGAGCTGGCGCTATAACCCAACGAGATCATCTTTCTGGCCCTTAGGGAGTTTACATTTGTTGAAGATCTACAAAAGTGTTGATTTCAAGATGGAGTCACATACAACATCACTGGTCTTTCTCTTCAGCACATTTGAAAATCACTCTGTTGTCTATTACATAAGAGGGGGTGACACAAGCAAATGTACTGCTTGAAACATCTTACTCCAAACTCCCAATCTGTTCTCACCTCTCCTTCTCTGCCTCACTGCTACCTCTTTGCAGGCAAAACAACTACTGGGCTCAGTTGGGGAGAGCAGCTCCTGATAAGAGGTTTAGGTTTAGAATACTCAGCCGTAAACCTGTTCTGATGTCAGTTTGAACTGCACACTTTACCACCTTAAATAAGCCCAGGCCCTTGGTCCCCCTGGCCAAAAACAGGGTCTCATTTGGGTAGGTTCAGCATTTGCTGAAAAAAAAAGTACAAATGACATAACCTAGATAAAGGAAGGCCATCTGCTGGTTTGGGCGGAGATATATATTAGAATCTTAACAGAAACATGAAAAGATTCATACCACTGTAGTAATTTACTAACTTGAAAACTGTAATAAAGCAGCTACCCCCAAATCAATTCCCCCGTATTTTCTCTCAAGTCACTTGAATTGTCTTGACACACACCCCCCCACACACACACACTAAGTCTTCTGTTCTGCAGGGCCAAGCTGCCCTCCTCCTGGGAGAAAAGATGGAAGTCAGACTGAGGGACCCAAAGCTAAGAGGACCGACAGGAGGCCTTCACTAGCAGGACCTCACAAGAAACACTCAGAGACAGGGCGGCAGAGGTTGCAATTCCCTCGAAAGTGCTGGGGAATCAAGCGGCCTATCCTGACAAGGAAAACCATCTTGTGGACACCTACAAAGAACAGGCCCGCCAAGCCCACCAAACTCCATGCCTCAAACCCGGCCACACTCATGGGACCCCTGAGCTTAAGGTTTATCACTGAAAACACGGAGGCCCCCCCCAGAGAGAAAGATGGAACCTCACTTTGTATAAATGCAGGAAAAGCATCTGGCACATCCACAGCCTGACCCACAGCAGGCTCCACAACCTACACACACCTGCACTGGGCAGGGCCCAGAGCTCCTTGGCTAAGGGTAGCCAGATCCCACAGGTCAGAGTGGGCACATTTTGGCCGGGGAGACGGTCAGCTGTGTATCCAAAACGTGATTCTGGCCCCCTCTCCCCCAGCACATCTACAGAGGCAAAAGCGTCAGCACGAAGAAGCAAGACTTCAAGAAACAAAAGCTAAGTGGGGTGAGAACCCGCCCAGACCAGACCCCCAGGTCTTGCTGCTCCTTCCAGAAGTTTTAGCTTAAGTTCCCAAAGCCCAGTGGGTGCGGAGACGGGAAAACGAAGGGCAGAAGAGAGAACGTGCTTGTCAGGACCGGAAAGGCTGGGCTCGTGGGTCCCGTCCCGCACCCAGGCCATTTGGGGTCGCCTCGGGGCACCTGCGGCGGAGCCGGCGGCTCACCTTGAGATAGTCGTTCTCCGAGCGCAGCTCCTCGATCTCCCGCAGCAGCTCCTCCTCCACCGCCGCCGCCGGTACCAGTCGGGTCTGCTCGCCTGGACCGGGCTCCTTGGGGATCCCGGGGACCGTTCGCTCAAGCGGCGCGCGCCCCCCGGCATCCTCTGCCACACCCGTTCCCGGGGACCCCGCGGGGACCCCGCCCGGACTGCTCCGACCCCCGAGGCAGGCGCCGGCGGCGGGAGGCGCGGCGAGGAGCGCCGGGGGCTCGGGGCTGCTGGGCGGCGCCCCGCGAGTTGCGGGGCTCGTCGCGGGGGCTCCTCGCAGCGGTTCCCGGTCGCTGGAGCCCGTGCCAGACTCGGCGTCGCTGCTGGCGGCGGGGAGCAGGCGTTGCTCGTCGGACAGGGGTTCGGAGGGGCAGTCGGAGAGGTCCGAGCTGCTGTCGGTGTGGCTGATGCGCGAGCCGGGAGCAGGCGAGCCGGCCGAGGAGGTCACGGCGAGGATCACGGCGGGGATCGGGGCGGCGGGGACCGGGAGCCCGGTGGCATGGGCGGGGGGCGCTCCGGACCCGCGTTTGGCTTTGCGGCCCTTGGCAGCGGCGGACAGAGGCTCGGTCCCGGGCGGCGGCGGCGGCGGCGGCCTCCCCGCCCGAGGCAGCAGCTCCGCGGGCGCCGTGCGCGCCGCCCTCCTGAGGCCCGGAGCGGCCTTGACGCCGCCCGCTGCCCTGGCCCCGGCGCCCGGCGGCGGCTTGTCCTTCGCACCAGGGGCGCCGCCGCTGCGCCGAGAGAGGCGGCCGGGCGCGGCCAGGGTTCCCGGCGAGGGCGGTGCTTTGCCCGCGAGGCTGGGCGAGCGCTGGGCGCCGGGCGCCGGGGCTCGGCCCGAGGAGGGGGCGGTCGGACCCGGGCCGGACGCCGGGGGCCGGCCGTGTAGGTCCTTGAGGAAGGGTCTGGCGGGCGAGGGCGCGCGGTGCAGCCGCCTACGCTCGGCCAGCGGGTGGAGGTGGTGGTGGCGGTGGTGCTGGCCGGGCGGCAGCGGCTTCGCGTCCGGGGAGCCACCGCCCGCGAGGCCGTTCAGCGTCTCCATGGCCGGGTCCCGGGCCGCGAGCAGCAGCTCCGGCGGCAGATGCTCCGGGGGGCGGCGGCGGCGGCGGCGTGCAGCCTCCCCGCACGCCCTCTCATCACTGTCCCCCAGCCCCGCCCGGTCTGCGCCCCGCGCTCCCGCGCCGCCGCCGTACCCCGCGTACCCCCGGCCCCCAGGATCCCCGCGGGGCTGGCAGCCGCCGTCCTCCCGCTCTCCCCTCGCTGAGGTCACTGCCGCTCGAGTTCACCCGGCACGGCAGCGCGGCGGCTCCCTGCCGCTCGCATCCCCTAGACACGGCGCTCCGGGCTCGCGGGCCCGCCGCCGCGGCCTCGCACACCCGCACTCGCCCGCTGGCGGCGCGCTCCCCGCTCCCGCGTCCGGCTCCCCGCCCAGGGCAAACCAGCTCCCCGCAGCGCCCGCCGGCTCCCGCGGAGAGGAACAGCACGCGCGCTCCCCCGCCTCCCCGCGCCCTGCGCCCAGCCACCGCGTGCGCATGTCCCGCCTCCCGCCAGCCGGCGCCGGGGGTGGGGGCGGGGTCTGCGCTCCCCCGGCTCGCGCTCGGGCCGCGGCCCCCACCTTGCTTCGCCCTGGGACCCTCCTTGCTTTTGTGGTTCTAAGGACAGTGCCTAGATCTGGGGAGGGAAGGAAGTAGCAGGGGTAAAGTGAGGTGGGAGAGAGGCGGGCGCTGACTGCTTGCGGGAGACTGGAGGTCCGGGAGACTTGAGCTGACCCCTCTGTGGTGTGTGCAGTGGGGTGCCCCTCTCCCGCTGTTGTCAGCCAACGCTCCCCACAGGCCCCCACATCCAACCCCTGCCTCCTAGGGCCCCTTAGTTCCCTCTCCGCTGTCTTCTCACGGCTGTGCCTGTAGTCCCCACACTTCTTTGAGGACTAGTACCCGATGCAGCTATCACGTCAAAACAGGCCCGGTGCTCCACAGTTGGCACCCCCAGTGGCCTCCGGAGCTCAGAGACCGAGGAGCTGCTGTAGAAATAGGAGAAGCCGCTCGCCAAGCTTGGGGTCAGAAAGGAAACTCGCATTTATAGTTCCGACTGGGAGCCAGCACTGTTAGACACTTCGTAGGCATTGTTTTATTTAATCCTCATAATAAGCCCGAATTGGAATTACTGTCTTTTTTAAGGATGAGGATACAGGCGCAGGGAGGTGAAGTCGGTGCTTTAGCCAGGCCATGGCCGGGTGGGGATTCACACCAAGTCTGTGGAATTCTCAATCCTACGTGCTGTCGCCTCAGAGAACCACGGCTGTGAGTAACCGTTCCGCCACTTGAGAGTCTAACGTGGGCCACTGGCCTTTTCAAGCCTCAGTTCTCCTGCCTGTATAATTAGAAAATACTACTAGGTAAGTGTTGGGAGGATTAAATGGGCAGATGTGAGGAACACTGTGCAAACTGTAAAGTACTTTTCAAATATCCTTGAGTGCAGGTTTTGTCCCAGACATTGGATGTTGGGTAATACTCAGACGACTAAGGCCCATCCTGTCCTCTAGACTTGGCTTTGCCAGGAGGCAAAAAGGCAATAATTACGAGTTGCTAGGGTGGGCATTTGCCCCCCACCTGGGAAGACTGGCGTTTTCCTGAGATGTAGTTGGGTGCCCAGGATTTACAGAGCAGGGGTTGTAGGTGAGAAATGGGGGCGAGTGCGACCAAATATCCTGTGGCTATTATCCTAAGGGATGGGGGAGCCTTTGGAGGATGGTGAGCATGGCTGATCTTATTTGCCTAGAAAGATCCCAGTGGCTGCAGCAGTGAGGAGAGGGAGACCCATGAGGGGAAGCAGTCAGTGGTGGCAACAAGCACAGACCAGGCGTTTATGGCAGTAGGGGTCGAGAAAAGCGGACAGACTTGGAAAGATACAAGAAAGAAGAGGCTCCAAGGTCTATGATCTTAACCACAAATTACCCTACTGAGCCAACTCCTTCAAAAAATACAGGATAAAGTGATTTTTTAAAAAAATCACTGTAAATCAGGAGAATCATACTCCCAAAAGACATCCTGTCTGCTGCTTCTTAGATGCCGGCGGTGATACCGGGCCATCTTCCGTGACTGAGCTCTGAGGGCACTGGGACCCCGACCTCTCTGCTGCTGTTCATGTTTTTTGTGAGTCATTTATCTGCAATTCCTCTGAATGTGTGACAGCACACTCAGAATATAATCTGTACTGAATCTCCTTTGACGCAATATCTAGTAAGACCACAGCCATATTTCATGGAGTATTTGAAGAAAAAGGACACTGGTAAGCAACAACACTGCAGAAAGGAAGGGGTGGGGGTTAGTGCCCAGCTACGGTGGGGTGTCGGGAGGGCCCCCCCAGCAGCCAACTCTCCCCTAGAGGGCGCTCAAGCTCTCAGTTGGAGTCAGTTAATCAGAAAGTGGCAGCCCGGTCAGTCCTGGAGCACAACCCACTGTAACTCAGGGGCCAGGACCTTCACATAGAACTTCCTCCAGGACCCAGAAGTCTCCAGTACCCTACATTTCTGAAGAATTATGTCCAGGACTTCTAGCACAAGCTGGTCAGCTGCTCATACTATATATAATCATGCACAAGGCCACCTGAAAATGTTCCGGTAAATTAGCCTTCCAAAAGTACTAGCCGGATGACCATACTATTTGTAGCCAGCTTCCCTTTCCCTCAGGTAACAAGTCAAGCAGAATTCATATTCTGGCAATTGTTTCTACTGGCCCTTGGCAAGGAGGCGTTCGATAATGCTTTCTTTTTCTAATATTCAGTGAGTCACAGGTATAAAAATATATCTGCTTGCATGATAGATGTTTTTAAGTCACATGTGATTTTTTAAAAAAATTGTGTTGCCCCATTAAGTTAGTCTAAAGGTGTTGGGAGTTACTATTTAAAGGAGGCTTAAGGTTCTTTCTTCTGGAAAACAACAGCAAAATCACATGTGGGTGTGCCTCTTTGGATCTGTCTGCTCTCAGACCCAGTCTTTGACTGACGGCTCTGCACAGAGGGAGGAGCAACTGATGAAGGTTGGTTTTCCAGGTTCCTAGGTTTGCTGATTGGGTTTGGCTGGTAGAGATTGGAGTCTTAACAGCAAGGGAGAAACCAGGTTTATTTATTACCTTCTCTGTCTGCCTCAAGTGACTTCTTCAGAGTGGCCCAGTTTCCTTTGTGGACTGGCTTATTGGGGTTCCAGCGTTCACTGGATGACCTGAAGCCTCTGGTAACTTTCCCTCCTCCTGTTGCCTCTTGGTCAAGGGTCCTAGTCGCTTCTTATGGTTGCAGATCTCTGGGTTACTTCACTGTCCCCTGTTTGGCTCTCGATTCTTCCCCCACTCTATAACCAATTCACTGCACTGTAAACCCTGTGTTATAAACACTTGCACTACATACCAATTTTCCGATTTTCTCATTCTTTTGCAGAGGCCTAAGTACAGGCCTAGGGAACTGCATGCAGCAGCATTGGTATAACAGGTAATTTGGTATGACTGTATCCAGTGTGGTATAGTGACAAGAGCTGAGGCTTCCACACCACGTAATCTGGGTCCAGCTCCTGCCTAAGGCACTAATTAGCATGCTCTGTGCCCTTGGGTAAGGTATTATTGTCACTATCATCATCACCATCATCTATTTAATACCAGTGGAATAATCAATACTCTTTGACATGTGAGCACACCCAACTCGGAGCAAAAGTTAGAAAACCTAGTCTGTGTCTATACAGTTATATAAAGAGAAACGGAGTTTTTTTTACCTTGTTTAACACATAGTAGAAAAAAATATGGCATGGGACTACACTTCCCCTACTGCACTGTACGCACAGACAGAATTATATACAGAATTTCTGCACTCTCAAAACCTTGTCCAAACCTACGGACATTCTTTTCTAGTTTTTTTCCGCTTATTTTAACTCAAAAGTGCATTTATAATATGAAATTATTCCTCGCTTAAATCATCAGAAGTAATCCTTTTTGAAAAGAGTAGGAAGAGAAGATTTTTAACAGAATGAGTGCTGTGTGTGTATGTTTCAGGAAAATTGGGGTTAAAAAAGGAAACCTGAAGTCAGGGGGCCCTCCTGAAGTTGAAGCAGATGCATCCAACCCTGGAGGTATGTGGGGGTGCCTTCCAGCTTCTCTTGCAGGGTTACTGCCCAAATTTCATGTGGGACCCGAAGCAGGCCAGTCCTACAAGGACCCACTGACCCCTTCTCATGGCCAGATTGGCGGCTGTGTGTAGTGGAGATAATGATGGTGGCTTGAAGGGCTCTTATGACAGGAGCACATTTATCGCACCTGTGAGCTACTAAAAATGCAGATTCTATGGGGCCACATGCCCCAGACATCTGATTCCAAAGGTGTGGGGTGGAACCCTGGAATCTGTATTTTTAATAAATACATTCGATGCAGGTAACCGTCTGACCACACCCTGAGAAACCCTGTGTTGCTATTTCTAACACAGCTCCAGGTGTCATACACTCTTCCTTCGCATTTCCTCCTGTTTCTTTTTGAAACTCCTTCTGATGCTGTGTGTGAAATTCTGGATGATTGACCTGTAGAGGCCAAGATAGAGACGTACTCTAAGTTGGAACTGGAAACAACATCCCACCAAAGGGTTCTCCTGGGGCCAGTCTTGCAGGGAAAGGGGAGAACCTTCCTCTCATCTGAGAGTTAAAGGAAGATATACGTGAGGGTAGAACGGAGGCCCTTTTGCTCTTGACCTGTGGTTGTCAGTGAGGGTGGAAGCACCTCTAGGGGCATTTTGGAAGTTTGCTGGCATATTTTTTGTTGTCATGACAGTTGGGTTGTTGGGGGCACTTGTAGAATTTAGGAGAGGGGTCAGGGATGCTAGGTGTCACAATATGCTCAGAGAAGAGCTGCTCCACATGCTGTCCAACTTCCAAATGCCCTTCTGAAACATTCACATAGGTTAAAAACCAAACCAAACAAAGCACTGTCATTATCTGAGTCTAGAATGTAACTGTCTTAGTCCGTTTAGGCAGCAATAGCTGAAAACCATGGTTTGGGTGGCTTATAAACAACAGAAGTTTATTTCTCACAATTCTGGAGGCTGGAAGTCTGAGTTTGGGGTACCCGTGCGGTCAAGTTCAGGTGAGAACTCTCTCTCTGACTGCGGACTACCATCTTCTTATGTCCTCACGTGGGGACATGTGTCTGGTGTTCTCACATGGCAGATCCCTCCGGGGTCTCCTTTATAATGGCACTAATTCCACTCATGAAACCTCCACCATACTGAGCTAACCATCACTTCCCAAATGCCCCACCTCCTGAGACCATCACATTGGGCATTAGGATGTCACATGAATTTGGGGGTGAGAGGGACACAAACATTGGTCTATAGCAGTATTTTACACATAAACACTATGCTTTCACATATAAAGCAGAATATTTAGGGTTGTTCTCATATATACTAGATTTTTGTTTTGAGAGAGAGAGAGAAAGCAGGGGTGCGGAGGCGGGCAGGAGAGGGAGAGAAAATCTCAAGCAGACTCCACTCCCAGCGTGGAGCCCGATGCAGGGCTTGATCCCAGGACCCTGAGATCATGACATGAGCTGAAATCAAAAAGTTGGACGCTTAACTGACTGAGCCACCCAGCGCCCCATACTGGATTTTTTTTTTAAAGGAATGCAGCTGCAATAGAAATCAAGACTGACTTAATTTTATTTGG